TAGGTATAATACTTTTAAATTTAATTTAATATTTAAATATATAATATAAAAAGAATATAATATTTAAATAAATAAATAAAAAATATATATATACGTATTTATTTCACAGGTATATATATATAATTCGTCATAAAATTTAATTAATTAATTTGAGATATAATTTTAAATTTAATATATCTTATAGAAAAAAATATTTAATAACATTATGTAGAAATATAATGATTAAATTAGTAAATTAATTATAAATAAAATATAATAATAAATAAATAAATAATATGAAGTAATTCGGCAAAATAATTATATTCACCTGGTTAACAAAAACATGTGCTTTAGTTTAAAATTTAATGTGAGTCCTACTCAATGATGAGAGTAAATAGCTTGCAGTATTTTAACTGTACGAAGGTAGCATAATCATTTGTCTTTTAATTAAAGGCGGGAATAAAGGGGTTTATGAAATATAAACTGCCTTACATGAAAAAAATAAATTAAATTTTAAGTTAAAATACTTAAGTAGAATTTGTGAACGAGAAGACTATGTAGAATTTTTTAATTTAATTAAAATTTATGACAGTAACATCTGTTGATAACAGTAATCAATGTTTGTAACTAAGAAAATATTTTTTTTTAATAATATGGATAAATAGATAAATTAGCTGATGGATAACACCATCATATCTTGAGAGGTCATATTAATAATGATGTTTGTGACCTCGATTATGAATTAAGAATTATTTTAAATGCAGAATTTTAAATATTAAGTCTGTCCGACTTTTAATATCTTACATGATTTGAGTACAGATCTGTGTAATCCAAATCGGTCTCTATCTTTAATCTGATTTCTATATTTTTGTACGAAAGGTCTAATTATATATATTAAACTATTATTATTATATGTAATAATTTATCTTGGCAGAAAAAGTGCATTAAATTTAGAATTTGATTACATATAATAATATTTAGATAATAATTTTAAAAAAGATAGTATTTTATAATTGTTTGCTTTTTTTATTATTGTTAATAATAATAATAATAAGACTAGCATTTTTAACTTTATTTGAACGGAAAGTTTTAGGATATATCCAAAATCGTTAGGGACGTAATAAGGATATGGGGATTTTAGGAATTTTATAACCTTTTAGTTATGTAATTGAATTATTAAATAAGGAGATTTTTTTACTTGAAAATATTAATTTTAATTATTATTTATTAATTCCTATTTAATATCAATTTTATCTTTAAGAATATTTTTATTATAATGCAAGAACTATGTAGATATATGTATAAGTATGTACTTCTTACAGTTTAATACAATTAACTTTGAAATAAATTGAAGAAATTATAACAACTTTCTATCGATTTTTCAAATTTATTTAATTTTCTATGAGTGTCCTAACACTTTTGGAGGGGAGTACATATCGTTTATAACATCACATACTGCGAAAGCAGTAAAACAGTAGTTTTCTCGAGAAAAAAGTCGCGTTTTGGATTCGCTAGCAAGGTCGCATCATTGAAAATTGTTGTGGAAATCTTTAACCTAGCTGTAGGTTCATGCAAGGATATAGGACAATTTCAAATCATTACCGAATAAAATAAAATGTATTCAACATGAGTAGGAGAAATTAGAACAAAATACTGCTAAAAAACTGTATAAGGAGGAGCCACAAAATATGAAGTATTAATATCATGTGTTGACTTATTGCTACACATAATTTTTAATTGAGTGTGCTATTATGTTGATTCACTGTACTTCCATAAAAATTATTTTCCTTCAAGTAAAATTGTTTAGACTGGCGAAATTCAATTCTATTTCATTTGTGTATGTCTATAGTGGTATTTTTCCTGTATAGAAACAAAACCTTGATCCTTGGTCGTAATGTAAAATAAATAAAAATTACGTTAATTTTACATTAATTTCGTCCCGTACAGTAAGTGCACGAACAATTTTTCAGTATCTAAACGATAATTTTGAAAAATTCTTTGTACTGAATATTTATTTCACAGGAAATCACTGTTAAAATCTTTCTAGACATACAATATAAGTTATGGATTTTCAACTTTTTCAACTATGAAAAAAGTTTAGTATAGTTACTTTATCAAACATTCCCACTTTCAGTGACGAGTAAAAGCGTAAGCACACGACGTTATATTATTGATTAATTAGGCAATACTATTATATTTCACAGGAAATAATTGGATAAAGGCAATCAAAATTATTAGTTGATTATTTTAAATGAAAAATGATCAACCTCTTTTATGAATAACAATATTTTTTNAGTGGTTGTGAAGTCGACCTCCGGTAATGTGTTGAGTGCGCTGCCGATTAAGAAATGTCCTGGAGTTAGAGCACAAAGATCGTTCGGATCCGAAGACAATGGAGTGAGAGGCCTTGAGTTGAGAATTGCTTCGATTTCGATGATGAAGGTGTTGAGTTCTTCGAAAGTCAGCAATTCGTTGGCTATCACTCGTCTCATGTGGTGTTTGAACGACTTCACTGCCGCTTCCCACAAACCTCCGAAGTTTGGTGACCTTGGCGGAATGAAATGCCAGTTGATCCCTTCGTTGGTCAAGTAGGCATCCACTTTGCGTTGATGATCCTGTGAACTCAGCAGTTGATGAATTTCTTTGAGCTCTCTATTTGCTCCAACGAAGTTCGTTCCGTTATCGGAATAGATGGCATGACATTTCCCTCGTCGAGCAGTGAATCGACGTAAGGCTGCCAGGAAGCCATCGGTGGTCATGTCGCTGACTAGCTCCAGGTGTACTGCCTTCACAGCGAGGCATACAAAGACAGCGACGTAGACCTTGATTCGGTTTCTGTTACGGAACTTCTTCTCTTTGACGAAGAAAGGACCGCAGTAGTCGACCCCGACGTTGTTGAATGGTCGATCTTCGTTGACACGAGCTTTTGGCAGATCTCCCATCATGCATTCTGTGTTTGGTGGATTTGCACGGAAGCATTTGATGCACTGGCGGATGACCTTCCTTGTTTGGTTTCTGCCATCGAGGGGCCAGTATCGTTGTCGGGTACTGTACAGCGTGGCTTGGACACCAGCGTGCATGCTGCGTAAATGTTCGTTTCGCAAAATGAGCGTTGTCAAATGGTGCGATTTGGGAAGCACGATCGGATGTCGTTGGGAGTATGGGATGTCTGAATGCTTCAAACGTCCTCCCACTCGTATGATGCCGTCTCGGTCGAGGAATGGGTCGAGCGTGTTGAGTTTGCTCTTGCGGTGAACCCTGCGACCTTGAGATAAATCTTGCATCTCTTCGGCGAAGCATTCTCGTTGTGTCAAACGGAGTATGGTTTTGTTGGCGGTGTTCAATTCCTCGGCTGACACAGGCCCCTTGAAGCGGTTGTCCGGTTTGAATCGGAGGCAGTATGCAACGATTCGTTGCAATTTGGTGATCGATGAACACCGCTGCAGTATCTCACACAAAGCTGCTGTCGTTGTGAGTAGACATGTTTTACTTCTGATCTCCGGTAGCATGTCCAAGGAAGGGAGTTTGAGCTGAGGCCAGAAGGATTCGTCTTGCGATAGCCAACTTGGACCGTGTTTCCAAACGGAGTTTTGGATAAACTCAACGGGCAGTTGACCGCGTGATAAGGCATCGGCAGGATTGTCCTTAGACAGCACGTGTCTCCACATATTGCTCGATGTCTTCGTTTGGATATCGGAAACTCGATTCACTACAAATGCTTTTAGCAAGTGTGGGGAAGAGTTGATCCAATGGAGGGTGATCGTTGAATCAGTCCAGAATATTGTTTGGTCAATTCTCACGTGAATTGAATTAAGAACGGTGGCATACAATTTGACCAATAATTGTGCGCCGCAGAGCTCGAGGCGTGGTAAGGTGACTGACTTGAGAGGAGCTACACGAGATTTTGCACACAACAATCTGGATTGAATTTGGCCGTTGGCATTGCTGGATCGCAGATAAATGCACGCTCCATAGCCAATCTCGCTGGCGTCGCAGAATCCATGGAGTTGAGTGGCTGCGACGTCCGACAGAAGAATTGGTCGTGGGAAGGCCATGTTGTTCAATAGATTGAGTTGTGAGCAGTAATTTATCCATGTGGAATGTATGTTGTGAGGAACGGATTCATCCCAATCCAATTTGACTTGCCACAATTTTTGCATGATCAGCTTGGCAGTGATGATAACTGGACCAAGTAATCCCAGTGGATCAAAAATTTTGGCAATGTTAGAGAGAATCGTCCTCTTGGTGACTCTCGTATCGACAGCGATCGGTGTCACTGAGTAGACTATGGAATCTTCGAGGGAATTCCATGCCACGCCGAGAGTCTTCAATGTTTTGTCATCGTGGGCTTCGAGCTTGACGTTGACACTGCCTTCCGGAAGTCCTTGAAGGATGGTGGGACAGTTTGATGCCCATTGACGAATGTTAAGACCTGCGTGATGCAACAAGTCAATAACTTCGTCCCGGATGCTGATGATCTCTTCTACGGTGGCTGCTCCGGTCAACAGANATGAAAATTTTGATTCCATTTATCGAATTATTTAATGTAAAATATATTAGTATTATTCGATTAATCAGTAATGTAACGCGTTGTGTGCTTACGTTTTTGCTCGCCACTGTATACAATAAAGAGATTCAGCAATTTCACCGTTGCAAATGAGAACCTTATTAGAAAAATTAACAATAACTAAATCATTGGTATTTATCGTATCGTATATTTTTCAAATACATAAGAGAGAAATAGTTTACTCAAATAAAATTAATAAAAGTACAATAATTGGTTATGTATACCATACTAGCATATGTTATTTTTTCTGCAAACATGAGCAAGATTTTCTTTTTAAATATTGTTTTAGGCACATCTACGAATAGTTTCCATGTAAAATGAGCGTGCATGCATGTACAACATCTTTCCTTCACAAATTTGTATATTTCAAGCTGTGCATATGCTCATGTACGATCATAAGGATTTATACCAACACAAATAACTTTTTAATTAATCATAGGTGTACCATTTTCAATAATCAAATGTGTTGCAAACAATCAGATTAAACACAATCGTAACATAACTGCATTATGAGACAAGCCATATAAATTCTGAAAAATTATTTTTATAATTATCTTTTCTAGCTAATTTATTGTTTCTTGTACATCGAATTGTACTCTAATGATATCGTAACTCATTTGAACCATACCTATAATTTCGAAAAATTATTTTTTAGCCAACTATTTCGCGTTTTGGTCCACCATTTTAACGGCGAAGAAAGGAAAAAAGGAGTAACAGCAATTGAGAGCAACGTGAAGCGACGTTCCCTACTTCTTGACCTTTTTTACTTCCTTTGCGTTGGGCAGTGGTTAACAACAAGTTCTGAAAGTCCTTACTATCGACGCGAGCAGATCGGAAGTGGTAAATTATGTTCCCTAAAAGTCCGATTTATGCCGCAGCCGTTCTCAGAACGTCCACTTTTAAGTTGTAGTAGAGGAATTTTTAATATTCTGCAGTCGACTGCATATTGTTTTTCACGACATACGAGGCTTCCAAAGCAGGCGTGACTTCACGAATGTTATGTGCACTCTTCCACGAAAGTATTCGAATACTAGAGTTATATTGAAGGGAAAGAATTCTTTACGTATTTTAAATGTCAAAATACAAAAACCTTGAGATTTAGTATAAAACGTTGTTCTACATAATTAGAAAAATGTAAAAAAAAACATCAAGTTTTCACGCCGTATAAGTATTCGAACGGCTTATAAAATTAAGTTATAAATTAAATTATAAAATTAAATTAAAAAAATTTTTTTTACTAGTTTTATGCCTCTATTGTTTAACAATATGTTTCTAAAACTTTGACAGTTAAAAATTTATTTATTTGTGATCGATGTCGTTTCATATCATTATTTTGTACGATTTTATCATTTGTTTATAGTAGGTATATTTTTTTGTTGTAACTTGTATGACCGAATGTATAAGTCATGTATACGACACAACAATTTTTGTTATCTTAAGTTGTTAATGCATTTGAATATTGATGTAATATGGGAAAAATCTGTTACAAATTTCTTCATTAACATTTACAATGTTACAAATTTCTTCAGATGCATTAATAAATTAAGATGACAAATTATATTTATTTGCATCTTATACATGACTGTCCACGCCCATAAAGTTGATTCAGTCGTACAAGTTGCAACAAAAAAAAATACATACAATAAACAAAACATAAAATCATGTAAAATAGAGACATAAAATGACATCGATCATAAGTAAACAATAATTTTTAAATGTCAAACTTCTTGAAACGTATGGTTAAACAACAGTGGTATAAAACTAGTAATACAAATTTAAAAAAATTTTTGTAAAACTTTAATTTTATTAATAACTTAATTTTATAAGGCGTTCGAATACTTATGTGGCGTAGAAATTCGATGTGTTTTTAGTTTTTTTATTATGTTGGCAATGTTTCATACTAAATCGACAATTGTTTTGTATTTTGACATTTATATACTCTAGTACACCGTAAAGAATTCTTTTCTTTCAATGTATATTTATTTAAATATATGACGTAGAAGTCAAAGTTATGTTTGAATATTTGCGTGTATAATTGTAGGTAACTCAACAATCTGTGTTATCCGCCTGCATTATCGATCGCATACTTTCCCTACGTAATCCAGCTAATTTTTTGTCTTTAAATAAGTAAGTAATCAACTAAAAATACACATTACCGCCTTTATGACCTAGCTACCTCGACCTGATCTTATTTTTTCGATATAAATGTTAAATCTCTCAAAATTTAAGGAAATCTATCAGCGGTGATCATCTTGGCATGTTTGGCTTGTTTTGGAAGCCTCGTGACAGGCCGTATGCTGTCAAATATTACAAATTTCTCCACAGTAACGTACAATGTGGCATGAAACCGGATTGACGGAGAGCCTCTATCTGATCGTAGTTCAGAATTATAAGGTTCACTCGGTTAGCGCACCATGCTGTTGTGCGGGACTTTCGACGCATGCATCAACTATCTCCAATCCTTCAAAGCCAAATCTGACCTATTTCTCTGTGATCTTTGTCCAGACAATATACATATTAGGTTTATACAATATTATTCACTTAAATTGAACATTTAAGTTATTTCTGTTACTACGAAAGCTATGAAAAAATGACAAAGTAGTATTTAAATGATTTCGAATCGTGCATCTGACGGTAATAAAGAATCGTTCAACCATGATCACTTTAGTGATTTTATCACTCTGTATAACTTTTTTTATTTCTACCTTATTCGAGTCAAATTAATTGAACTCTGCAAACACATTTTGACTTTTCTTTGTATTTCCATATTAATTATCACATTCTTTCATACAATAAGCTTAAGAATCTTGTATCATAGTGCGGTTTCCAAAGGAATATGTACACTTATTTTTTTAGTCGCTTCTATGCATGTCGTATACTATTTGTGTAAGTCTTCATGAACACTATAGGAGGGTTAATGCGAATTGAAATGTTTGATTGTCAACAGGAGTATGAATTCGATGATGACTGTTAGACGTGTCAACCACAGGCTGGCCAACAACATCAAGACTATACCACAAATCAGCCAATCTTTGCCATGCCACCGCCAAGCAGCGCAGTCGTCGGCAAGATCACAAGCTTAAACAGCGGTGGTGAGAGAGGAATTTACACATCATTATTATTATTTCCGAATACCGTTATTATTTTTCTTGAACAATTCTATCTTTATTTGCGAACCTTTTTACATTTTCTTCCTTTATACTGTTGCTTGTGTCTGATTTTTGCATTGCACGCGATGCGTTGTTACGAAACGTGCCACGTGGAGCATACGTGACGTGGAGCTTACCACGATCGTTCTCGAAGCTTACACAGTGCGACAAATAAGTTTCGAGACTGGAAAAACAGGAAAACATCATTCAAACACAATATATGAATATTTTTCGATTTTTTTATTCAAAATATTCTCCTCCAGTTTCAATACCTTAAATAACCTTGTAGCGCCGTGCTTTTACGACGCCCTTTTGACGCGCGGGGATCGAACGTCAACCCTACCGGGGTTGTAAGGCCCGGGCTTCGCTTGTTTGAAGACGCGTCGGTTTTGTAACGGTTATCGGTCCGATTGACCGATTTCGAATGAATTAGCGATTAAGTTCCCGAGTCGAATGAGTCTCCGGTTGCGACGAGTGAGTCTCCGAACGATTGAAACTGTTTGACGCACGAGTGAGACTCCGGATCGAGAATATATGTTTTTGCAGGCGACTGTAAGAATAATAATACTGCTAAAAAACTACTGAACCACTCACTGAACCACCTCGCCTGCTCGCGTTTTTTATACCCTTTTCCCCACTTGAGATTCTTGAAGGAACCTCCACCTCCATGCCGGGATGCACTGATTGGTTTTCTCGAAAATTACGATTTCCCAATCAGCGTCCTCCGAACGTTTCGTCACCACCCTCTCGTACCGTCCTGCACGGGCCTTGTCTTGAAGAGGGGTGCGACACGTAATTGCGTGGTTGGGGAGGTCCTCTGGGCCTTGAGATGTCATCCCCGCGACGGTTGGGACTAACTTTCCCAAGACGCGTTCAAAAATCTCAAGTGTTATTG